TTTTATCATTATACAAAATATCATTGCATATTTCCACATATTTCATAATATTTCCACAATGTCTCTAATTTTTACAATATTTCCCCTCAACATTTCTGACATTTCCAACATATGTCCTATATTTTGGTAAGCGACATTTCCATCGACATCGACATTTTAAACCTTGCACACACACACACACACACATCTGTTTGGTATCTCCTCCATCTCAAGATAATGACCCTTTGGTTGTGCAACTTACTTGCTCCTTATCCTGGCTCCCAACTTAATGGCTGTAGGCTTGTAGCACTAGATTTGATGGTCATCATATGGGGAACTCTCAGGTACTGGATAATGCAAAATTTCTAGTACTGCCACCATGGCATCAAGATTATCTTTAATATGCTTTCACAATCTAACCAAATTATTTATCTTAAAATCAGATAAACAGAAACATTGGCTAACTCAACCTTTTTGTCCACCTAAGGAACACCATAATAGAAAAATCACCACAATTCCTAGAAATGATACTGGTTTCAGGGCTTGCATGAGGGTCTGAAACGTGAACTGTTACGCTTCTTTCTTTTTCAAGTTATTGTAACTCTGACTTCCTATTGCTTCAAATGTTTGGTGAAGTCCATTGGTATGATTAATGGACAACCCAGCTGATGGTTCCTGTAATTGTATATTATAACACAAAAACATTACTGATGATAGAACAGTTAAATTTAGTAGATAATTACTGTTTCCTGCACAAGGAAATATGGGACCCATAGTACCTTCAAAGGTATCTATTTGTGGAATGGAAAGCAACATTAGAAAAAGTGCCTAACCAGTGATAAGCTCATCAGAGGAGGTATGGATATCCCTAGAATTGTCTGTGTTCTCTGCCCAAATGTGATGGAAATGACAGATTATTTATGCATCCATTGCGAAATTTCTGGCGCTCTTTTGGGCCCATTTTATCCATATCTGCAACTTTTAGTTGGCCTTCCTAAAGATCTTTATTAGAGGCCCTGGCCAGATGGAACATGAAAGGTCTAAGTGAAAAGGTAAGTTTGCACAGAGCATCATACCACTATATCATTTGGATGTTGAGGGGAGCAGCATACACATTTTTAAAACAAGACAACTCAAAGAGAGAGGGTGCTCAGAAAAAGCAGTGGAAAGATCTCGTTCATGGCTATTGGTTCAGCTTTTAGCGATATTTTCAGTCCTTGTATTTTGCACTTGAACAAACCCTTTATGCAATTATTGAACTTTTTGTACAGTTTTTTTTTTCTTTTATTTTTTTTTGTGGTGGGGATCTAATCTAAATTTATTTTATAGTTGTTATACTGAATCTCTGTTGATATACTTGTAAATGAAAGATGCTTTTCTCGCAACACCAATACAAAACATGCTTCATCATAAAAAAGTCTGGAATATTCTATCTGCAAAGGGCAAAAGAGAATATAAGACGTCTTCTCTTCATGCTTTATCTTAAAGCAAAATGCTGTGTCTGGAACTACTTCTATTAGGTAGACTATGTTCAGTCCTGTAAATGCAAATACCTCTTCTGAGCATCTTGTAGTAGTATCAGGCAGTCACAAGGCTAAGATTTTTTAGAATGTAACTTCATTGGAAGGAGTGGAACTGTGTAACCTTTGAATATCTTTTTTGCAGACATTTTTGGTGTGGCAGCTGATACTATCGACCTTGATTTTAGGGAGAAAGTACTCATTTAATCAAATTATCGGCTGCTTACTTGTAGCTGCTGGTGTAGTTCTAGCGGTAGCAAGGTATTTATTTCAAACTCGTTGTTCTTGTGGCAATTGGGCCTAATGAGCAGGTGTACCTCTAGATAGGACTCCAAATTTTAGTAGAATTTCAAAACAATGAAAGTTCACAGTAGTAATATACTCCCCAAATAAGGGATTCCAACTGTGATGTCAGGACCTGAGCTGATATCATCTAGTATAGGGCTGCACATGGGTTGGTTTGGTTCGATTTCATTTACTTGTGTCAACCAAACTGACACTGTTGGGTCGATCATTGGGCCAACTGAAGCTGACTGAAAAGAACATAAAACCAATTTGAGAATTTCTTTTGCATTTTGGTTGGTTTAATTGGTTAACCAAACACAAGACAGGCCATGTGAAGTAGTCTCTCGCAGGAAACTGTTCTGAACATTTAAATAATGATGAACTGGTACAGTAATATGGATCCCATTTCAAGTTTAATAATAGAAAACTATTGACTGGATTTTTTTACACATTCTTAAAATAGTTGATTCACTTGATTGAGATTTGAGAAGGTCAGTTGATCACTTTCTTTTTTTTTTTTTTAAGATTTTTAGCTTTTGCCGTTTGGGAATTTGGGTTTTGGGAGAGTCTGGCGGACTGGGTAGCCTAGGTAGTGGTTGACAAGCCTGACGTTAGTGGAATAGTGTCACTAATGTCATGGGAAAAGTCTAGGTTTTTTTTGGGATATATGGAAGTACCATAAGTTTCCACGCTTCCCACATTCCCACTGATGTATACATTGTTGGTTGGGTTGGTTTCAGTTTGGTTTACATAGATATAATTCACAACCAAGCCAAATCATTGGGTTCTAATATTTACAAATTACCAAGCTGAAATCGACTGACTGCTTTTTAGACCCAACCATCTCGGGTCCAGTCAGTCTGGTTTGGTCAGTTTTAAAAATTTTGTGAACAGTCCGTCCTAATATAGTGATTCCCTCAAATAAGCCCCTGACCAATAGAACTCTTTATTCTTATTATTATGTTATTTTATTTCTTTCGCTTTATATTGCTACAGCTTTCTTTCATTACTTAATTCCTTAGAACAGTGCACCATATTTTTACGCATTTACATGGAACTGCTTTCCTTCTTTGCACACTTCCATCAACTTTGCTTCCACCGGAACTGCATTTCATGTAAACAGTACTAATCTTACCCATATTGTGGTCCTTGATCATCAACCATACTTATAGGATTTCTTTTATTCCATATGGAGCATTCTTCAGTTCTTCTTGTTGCTAGGTTTACACAATTTAAACCATTTCTCAATGTTTGTCTTCACAAAATGTGTTTGCCTAGTATGCTGTCTTTTATGCAATATTTTGAACTCACCAATAGACTTTTGCATATGACATACAGTGGGTCTAATGAAGGTCAAATGCTATCAGAAGTTGACATGATATGGCCAGCACTAATGGTAGCTTCATCTGCATTTCAAGCCGGTGCATCTATTATTAAGGTTATAACAATGAACTGTTTATCTTATTTCTGCTGGTATTCCATATATTTGAAATAACAGGTCCAAAATTCTTTGCATAACAACAGGAGTTTGTGTTCATTGATGCTGCAAGGCGCCTTAAGGTATGGTTGTTACAAGTTCAAAATTCTGTTAATTCATTGAAGTTCACTTTTTTGTTGTTGATGATATAAATAATGTTATTCATTGAAGTTCATTTCTCACTTCACAAGTTATGTTCTTTTGACTATTTGCCATCTGCATTTCTTGACAATGCTTTACTTATCCTTATACAGGGAAAACCACTTGACATATTTGTAGTCAATTCATTTGGTTCTGGGTTCCAGGTGACTTTTGGCTTGCTGTGGTTTCCTTTGTGTTTCTATAATTTATCATGAATGTTATGTTTGAAGTATTATGTTGTATTGGCAACTTGATTTTGTTAAATAAATTTGCCATGCTGGGGTCAATAATGTCATTTCTGATATCAGCAATATGGCTGAGAAAGATAGTAGCAGATATAATTTCCTTTATCAAAGCCAGACATGTTGCATATATAATCCTTCTTTAACACCAGTGCTAATCATATAATTACTATTGAGTATGGAAAGGGGGAGGTGTGGAATAGGTTGGTTTCCCTATAACATAATATCACACTAGTGGATGTCTTTGGGCAAAGTTGGATACTTGTCTTTTTAATGCAGTTAATGGTAATTGGTCTACCTTATGATCATATTAAGCATTAAAAATAATAGTAAGAGAAAAGAAAATCATATTATACCTGTAAAGCTACTTACAAAAATGCTAAATTAGCACCTCCATTAGATTAAGCAAAATTATTCCAAGCCTTGAGATTCTCTGTACCATGGGATATTGCTTGGTGTAATGGTAAAACATTGGGCTGTTGTGCATGACAAAACAGGTGCAAGTCTGAGAGTGGCCACTGTGTGGAAAAAGTGCTGAAGGTTAGGTCTTTATCTAGTGTTCTCCTCTCAAGACCTTGGATTGTCAGGATTGTCATTTGGGTAATATCCCTTTGGCCTTGAGATGCTCTCTACCTAATCTCACTCTGTAACTTAAAAATTACCGAAGAAGTGTAGAACGACTTGGAGCTTGGAATTGATTTTGTGTTCCTGGTCTAAGCATCAAACACATGTATCTTTTGGAAACTGGACATATTTTCATTAAAAACAAGGCTGTATTGTTATTGTTGGAAATTCTTGTTGTTGTTATTTTGAGTTTCTGATCTTATAACCATTTTGTTGTTATCATTGTTGTCATTGTTATTGAAATTGAGATCTTAACTAATACATATCCATACGAGATTATTCTTAAGCATAAAAGCCTGAAGATAACTTTCTCATCATGTTTTCATTTTAATGTCTTTGAACATGTAGGCTCTTTTTGTACTTCTTTTTCTGCCTTTGCTGTCAAACTTGAAAGGTATATCATTTGCTGAGCTCCCTTCCTACCTGAAAAGTGGTGCTGCTTGCTTTCTGAACATTGGTGCCAATACAACAGGCAAGTGTTTCTTTTATAGGATTTTTAAAGTAATATATGGTTCAAGTGCTGCCTAACTATTACTTTATATTGGATTCTCTCTATTGCAAGGTATCCTGCTATCATTTGTTTGCTGTCATAGTACTTGAATTCAGGGAAATCTAAATGATTTAATCATAAAGACAAATTTGTAAATATTGTCTATAGACATTTAAATGCACATACTGTGCGTTTGTAGAAGGCAGGTGTCCACCATTTAATGGGTCTCACCTAGGATGTTCTCCATACAGAAATTTTACCTGATCAGATGGTTAGAAGTTAGAACCTAGACATAGACTTCCTTCTTTGATACCAATTGATGTAGGATTGCCTGCTCTGGTACCAATTAATGTAGGATGACCATAAACCAAGGCTGTGTCTAGGAAGATATTGATTCGCTAGAATAGGCTAAAGATGGTTTTTAAGACCAAAGGTAGAGATTGGTTAGGTAAGGAAGGTATCAACTATCAAGGCTTAACCACAACAATTGTAGATTAGTCCCAAATTGTGAAAAGTTTCAAATTGGGAAAAATAGGTCTAAGGCTGAAAATTGTCAATTAAACTTCTCAGGTAGGTTTAGATAGATAAATTGGGGGGGGGGGGTGGACCAAGTCTGATAGGGTTTGGACTGGAGTACATCTTGCACAAAATGATGAAAGTTATGTTTTGTGAAAAACCTCAAAATTCTGGATTCTAGGGTTCTAGGCAGATTTTTCAGATGAAAAATAACTTGGTTACTTAAGCCAATTAATAACATTGTTTGTAGAGATTAAGACTAGAGAAGCAGAATGACAAGTATAGAAGAGAAGATACAAACTGAGGAAGGAAAAAGCCTGAAGCATGCTACCTCTTTCTTGTATTAATTTTGGTCCTATTTCTTGTATTTGTATGTATATATGCAATTGACAAGTATTTTTGAAAACATCCTGGCTGTGCCACCTATTGTATACATATACATCAACACAAATTAGTATGACAAAAGATGATGAAGATCTATGGGGGGGGGGTCCAAATATGAGAGCAACTAGACATGGTTTGGCACCAAAAGACAAAAACGATAAAAAGGAGAACTTATCTAAACTGAAGAAAAGCCTATGTAGATCAGTTTCATTCCTTTATGGGTGTTGAACGAACTCCTTTAGGAAAGAGCTTGTGAACTTTTGATGGCTATAATGGCTATTTGCAAAATTAGAGAGAAGACAGAAAACTAAGAATCGCTTAATGGGTTCCAATTGCTCTAGGGCATAATCACTTACCTCCTTTAACATAAGCTATAAGAACTCAAATAAACTCCATTCATTCCAATATGTTGCTACATCTTTTACTTAAAACACAAACACAATAAACTCTTAGATCAGATCCCACGGACATGTAAAATGACTAAAATAACCATTTTGTACAAGAATACAAAAAAAAAAACAGAAAATTCCAATGTTTTTACTCTTTGGCCCCTCCATCACCTGCATACAGCAGGATCATGGTGTCAGGTTTGTCATGGACATTCATTCCAGTTCAACGTATTTGAACAACATGAGAACTGGTAGGATGCCTACAAATTGTATGGTTTAGACCATCCACTTGAGCTTCATTCTATTCTTGTAGATGGGGCCAATTGAATGATCAGTTCTCCTGTCCCCAGTGGATATTGGCCTGTGTAAATCATAAGCATACTGTGGTGTCAAGATGAGGTTAAATGTTCTTCAGAATGCTAGATGGACACGTTATAAGCATACTCTTTCAAATATATTTGCTATCAAAGTGTAATTATTTACTATCATAATCAGAATATGTGGAAAATAATATGGTATTGTTTCAGGTAGAATAGATATTGATGGTAATAGGGATCTGGTATATAATTGTGGCTCAACTCAACTTTTGGGTTGATTCATTTTTTGGTTGAGCAAATAGAAATGGTTGATCAGAAGTTGCAGTGGTTGGGAATCATAACTGTTCTATCAATACCTGAAATTTGGTATAAAATCTAGCACTAACACCAAGTAGTCTCACAGCTCTTGGTACTGGTCATCGAGTCACTCTTTAAGAGGTGGCACATGGACTGAGCAGTTCAGAGTGATGAATGGATGTGTCCTGTCTCGATTGTGTGCCTAACTCCAAATTTCAAGAGATCTGATGAAGTTTTCTAGAAAATCAATTTATTCATTTCAGATGTGTTTTCTGGAAGAAGGGTAGTTGTATGGATGGTGCCTTCTCTCACTGGAAAGAATATTTTTTTTCCCTTCTATTCAAAATCAGAATCACTCCACTTGTCATTTTCGGAGAAAACTTAGTGCTTGTGTATCCATTGTATTATCTTGAACAAGGAAAATTCTTCCTTTTCTGTTTTCTTTTCATTTGAAAATGCAGCTGAAAATCAAGATTAAGATAACTCTGTTTAGTAGATTTTGAATCAATTAACTTATATTCCTCTGAGAAAATCAATGCACCATCTGTTCTGTGTCTTATCCTGAAGAAATAACTTGCTTAAGCTACAAGTAAGCTTACTCTTAAGCTGTCCCTTCCATATTGCAAGTGAGCAACTAGTTGATTTATCTATACCAATGAATTTATTAGTGGAAATTGCAATATGAAGAGCCTGGATTGTGAATTTTAAGAAATTCCTGTCAGATGCTTGTCACCTGATCAAAACCTATTTAAACTACTGCATATATACCTTGGAGCTCAGTAACCAGAACTTTGCATCTTAGGAAATTTTGCACTCAAACCACAATTCCAAAAATAAGGGGTGGGAAGGCCATAGTGACACAGTTACTCAACTCAATTCATCCTTAATTAAAACTATTTTGGATCAGTTAAAATAGTTCTGCCCTGCCATTTTGCTTCATCAAGATCCGGTGATAGAATTCTGGATTTTTAAATTTGTGCATTGTAATTCCGAAATGCTGTTCATGGAAGATTGCATTATGTTGCAGTTCAAAAATTGATAAAAAAAGGTGGGAAAAGGGAATATACAGAGTATGCTATGGTGAAGTTTCTTGCAGCACTGTGCCAACTAACCTCCTCCACCTTTTTTTCTATCCCTCTATCAAGTTTACCTACATTTAATGTAAATTGTCTAAATCCAGTCACAATAAATGTAACATTTAACAATAGTCACTATTTCCTAATAAGCATGCCCATAACAAGGACATCCTACATAAATGAAGATACATATGGTGATTAAAAAATAAATAAATAAATAAATGAAGATACATACATCAATATTTTGAGCAACTGCTCCATTGACTAGTTCCTTTAGCTCCTATATGGTTTACCTTGAATAAAATACTTACTACCTATTGTATCCCTACTAACTCAGTCCTCACTCTTCATTGATTTCTTTCTGTCATTCTCACATGGGCACATGTTGCAGATCTCTCTCACTCCCTATTCTCTCTCTAAATACGGATAGATGCACCTTTATTTAATAAAAGTAAAATTATTTTAAAATTAGTCAAATTGAAAATTGTTACATGTAAACATGCATCATCTCCTGCTCTGAAACTCAGAGATTTTGAGATTTAGTGTGCCAACAATTTGGTTCTGCTCCACACTCTCGCTCTACATTATTATCAGGTTACTTAGCTCTGGAGGATGCACCTCTATGGTTGTAATTTTAATTTACTGAAGTTAAAATGATTTTTTTGGTAAAAAAGTTAAAATGATAATTTACTATATTTCTGCTTTGTTATTGCTTCTTGGCCCTTTTCCTCCTTTTCTGGTGAGTGCTAATTAAATAACTAATTTAAATGTTTTAGTAAAATGAAAAAAAAAAGAATACAATGATGTATTTCAAGCAATTGCCTTAATACACTAACCAGAATTTATCACAGAAAGAACACGTTTACCTTTATAAGTGGCTGGAACATAGCTTTTATTAATTCTCCAGTTTTTTCCATTGCTTTGTGCATGTGAACTCACAGTGAGATGACCATCTTAGCTCTATAATGTTGGGGATTAGTTCCCATTCCTACTGAATATTCCATGGGTTTGTGAATCTTTATGTTTTTTCCCTATTTTTTGTCTTCCAGGTTGTGAAGGAGCTCCATTACTACCTCTGCTTTTCATATCCATTAATATGGCCTTCAACATATCTGTGCTCAGTCTGGTAAAGATTTCTTCTGCGGTGGTTTCATCCCTTGCAACAACATTAGCAGGTTCTCTCTCTCTCTCTGTATATATATGTGCATATAGCTATCTATCTACAAACATTTATATGCATATTTATTAAATATCCGAACCCTTACACAAGACAGGTTTGAATGTAAAAGCTGATTGGGACACTGAATACATAGCTGGACTAATTCTTCACCTAGCAAATGAATTATCTGGACTGATCAATGGCCATGTTCATCCCCCACGGAAGGGAAATGGATGTTGACAGTGAGTTTACTTCAGCTATGACTACCGACAATCCAATAAAATGCAGACACTTAACAAGAAAGTAGTTCACTTGGTGTTTTGAATTTGAAGCAAGTGGATAACGTGCTTGTGTTTTATTGGTCATCTCAGGATGGTCCTGTGGTGGTGGTGGTCACAGAAGATGTGAACCCATTGACAGCCAATCTGGATTGGGACAATAAATGCATGAACAACCAAATGGTACCTAGCTAATGAATCACCTTGATTTGTAAATGGCTACATCATCCTTACACAGAAAATGGATGAGTGCCAATCTAGAAAACAATTTTTCATATCGGCAAATACATAAATACACATTTCTGTGTTTTTCTTTCCTGTTTTGGATCTAATTTGTGCTTCGTTTTTTTTCTTTTTTTCTTTTGCAGTGCCACTTTCTATTTATATTCTGAGCCTTAAATTGCCTTACATCCCTGAAAGTTCAAGCTTGAGCCCTTTTTTCCTGCTTGGTAGCCTGGTTCTTGTTTTAGGTCTACTTCTATATAACCTACCTCAGTCTGCCAAGCAGGGATCTGAAAATATTTGATCCTAATATTGAATTGAAAAAATAAAAAACAGATAGAATTTCACATATTCCTCTTGCAATGGTTCGTCGACGGCATAGTTGGAACAAGTCTTAGATGATGATGATGACCCTTGTTATAGTTCCATGAGAACACTGCTATTTTAACATGTTTATCCCCATTGATTTTGTAATTGTATCACACAACCAATTGTATTTGGTATTTCTATTTTATTGTACAGAAAATCTGAGGTCTACTGCCTACGTTGCTTTCAAGTCACAGAATATTTGATTRTCAACACTTTTTTTTTTGAGATATGAAATAACATTGACTAACAAAAAATATTACATAAATACTGTCCAAGCCAAGATGGTGGAGATCTTCACTTCACCAAACCATATTCCCCTTAAAAGATTTGKCCCTGTGAGCTAAAGTATGGGCCACAAGAGTAGCATTTTTACTTTTATATGCAAACTTTGATAAAAGAATTTTTTTTTTCAACAAATTTAAAATATTTGATTATCGTCACTTAAAGATTCTTATTATTGTAAAAGAATGAAGGAAAGAGTGCATTTGATGGGCATAATACATGTTCGTCAATGTGAATGATTTTGTTTGTTAAAACAAAAACAACTGTCATGTCCGCAAAAACAATACAAAAATGTTGTGCAGTCTTTTTTTTTTTTTTAATAGAAAACAAAATCATTCACATTGGCTAAAACCCCCTCGGTTTACATATTAGAATGTTGCAATTTCAATCCCAAAGGTAAGCTCTAGTGACCAAGGTTCAAAATATTGGCACTATTGTATTGGTATCTGTAGGCATGGGTGTGTGGTGTGGGTGGGATGGTACATTGTTGTTGAGGACCTATAGTAGTGGTTATAATGGGCATTAAAAGTCAGAAAATTATAAAAAAAGGGATCTTTTTCATTGCAAGAAAGTACTATATTATGGATCCACCAATGATCTATTTAACCCATTTATCTAAGAATAGTTTATGACAAAAACGAACATTTTCTTAATTTTTTAAGAAAACATGAATTAGAAAATAATTCATTTTATATATTCTAAATGGTTTTCATGGTAAGAGAGAATGATAAGATGTAGCTATAAATCATTTATCAAAATCATTGATCTAACAGCAATTTGATGCGTCTTATAAGAAAATTTTAGTAGAATAGTAGTTCAAACATTGTTTCTATATTATAGGTAAAGTTATTGTATGATATCGACATATTGTAGACACTTTGTATTGTTGATTGTAACGTATTTATTCATATAAACTATTAAAATGTGCATTTCTTATATAATCATATCATATTATAGTTGTTTCAACCTTAGATTTTTTTGTTATTGACGCATTTGTGGGATTTGTTGAATTTTTCTTAATGTATCCATCCATGTTTCTACATACATCGATGGTAGTTAATTCTGCATTAATACAACATTATTAAATATTAATAAAGTGCCATGTAGCGTATGTAGAAACATGGATGCAAACATTTCACCACCTTTTTATTCTAAAGATAAAGATAGTAAAGCACACAACTACCAACTAGAACTTGAAACACTCCTCCATCTAGAAATACCATTCATGTCCTCCCAAAGAATAGAATACAAATCCATAGGAGGATGTTCAAGAAATAGAAGGTGGCTACT